GCCCGCCGGGCGCGCCGCGCGCCCCTGGGCGCTGCTCGCCCTCTGCCTCCTGGGCAGCGGGGCCCAGGATTTCGCGCCGACGCGCTTCATCTGCACCTCGGTGCCCGTGGACGCCGACATGTGCGCCGCGTCCGTGGCCGCCGGCGGCGCCGAGGAGCTCCGGAGCAGCGTGCTGCAGCTCCGCGAGACCGTGCTGCAGCAGAAGGAGACCATCCTGAGCCAGAAGGAGACCATCCGCGAGCTGACCGCCAAGCTGGGTCGCTGCGAGAGCCAGAGCACGCTGGACGCCGGCGCCGGCGAGGCCCGGACCGGCGGCAGCCGCAAGCCGGCCGCCCCGGGCAAGAACACCATGGGCGACCTGTCGCGGACGCCGGCGGCCGCCGAGACGCTCAGCCGGCTCGGGCAAACTTTGCAGTCGCTCAAGACGCGCCTGGAGAACCTCGAGGTCCGCGCGCCCCCTCCGCGCCCCTCTGCCCCTCCCCCCATCCCGCCGGCGGTGGGGGGGCGCCCCGCCTCCGCGGGGGGCTGCTGTGCACCCGCTGGGGCTCGGGCGGCCACTCGCCGCCTCCCGCCAGGCCGCCCCCGCAGGCGCCCTGAGGGGACCGCGCCGCTCCGGGTCCGCGCCCCCCCCTAACGCAAGGTCTCCCCGCCCCCCCCCCCCCCCCCCCGCAGCAGTACAGCCGGCTCAATTCCTCCGGCCAGACCGGCAGCCTCAAGGATCTGCTGCAGGGCAAGATCGACGACCTGGAGAGGCAGGTGCTGTCCCGGGTGAACATGCTGGAGGAGGGCCAGGGGGCGCCCAGGAACGACTCGGAGGAGAGGGCCAAGATCGAGAGCGCCCTGACCTCCTTGCACCAGCGCATCAGTGAGCTGGAGAAAGGTACGGGGAGGGGAGGGGAGTGGAGGGGAGGGGCCGGGCCAGGGGCCGCTGCTCCCAGCTCCGGGCTACAGCCCCTACAGCCCCCGTCAGTCCCCCCCTCCCACGCCTGCCCTCCCCGGCCCCTCCAGGCCGAGCCTCCGGCCCCTGTTCCCCCGCAGCTGGCCGGCTCCGGGCTTGGACCGGGCAGGGCGGAAGGGAAGCAGATTGAGGAAGGGATTGCCTGGGGTCCCCCCCACCCCCCCGCGGGCTCCTGCTGCACGCAGGATTTTTCCAAGTCGATCTGCTTGATGCTCGGTAACCTGGGCTGTGGCGTAGCCAGCCTCAGCCCTCCCTGGTGGCGAGCCGGGTAGTGGTGCCAGCCTGTGCCCGTCCCGCGGAGAGCCGGGGTGGGGGAGGTGGCAGGCGGGCTCGCTCCCAGGACTGCAGCCCCTGCTGTCCCTTGGGGATCCCAGGGGCCCCTCCTGCCCCTCCCCAAGGTTTCCTCTTCTAAGCCCTGGCATCTGGGGCTGCCAGGGCCCCCGACCCAGGGCCAGCTTACACGGGGGTGCACAGGTGAGCTCAGGCGGCTCAGCCTTGAAGGCGCAGAAATCAAACACGGTTGTAAAAGAGGGGGGTGCTGGGCTCAGAGCAGGACCACGTGACCCTTCTCGGACTGCAAAATGTGCCGGTGGGTTGAACAGTGCCATCTTAAGGCGCGTTATGTAACTGAACGGCGGGAACAGGGTGGGGGGAGGAGACTGGCAAGAAACCACCCCAGGAGGCCTGGCTGAAGCTGCCCCAGGGGCACTGAGGGCCCCCTGCGGGGTCCCTGGCGCGGGGCTCAGACTCAGGCGTCTGGCCCAGCCGGCCGTGGGGCTCGGGAGCGGGCCCCTGTGTGCCCCGTGTGCCCACTCACACCCGGCCTGGCCACGGCCAGGGCACACCCGGGGCTGCCCGGGCGAGGGCGCGGCCCCCAGCAGTCACCTTGGGGGCCGCCGGCCCCTGCGACGAGGGCCACTCTGCGGTCAGACAGTCACCGGGAGGACTCGGGGGACGCCCCTCCGGTGGCGGGGAGACGTTCTGAAGCGCCGCGCCCCGGGGTGCGGCGCTGGGTCAGACCGTCCTCAGCGTGCGGTGCCCGGGAGTCCAGCCGGCCCCCGAGGGGCGACTCGGGGAGGGGAACCTCCCCATCCAGGGGCGGCTCCCCTGGCATGCGCCCACCCGGCGCCCCGCGAGGGTGCGGGGGTCCGTAGCAGACCAGAGGCC